AAATTAAATGGCCAACAATCTCAGCTGGGAAGGTATCGGTTTCTGTTCCAGAAACTGAAATATTAAATATCATATCTTGCCATTTGATACTACTTATCTGCAGGAAACAGCCTATGTGCAACAAACCAATTCTGGGCACCAAATTAGTACAAGTCTCTCAGCTGCAGAGCAAAACAGTGACAGCAATGGAAGGATTTACACCAATTTACCAAAACAATTACTAATTGTGGTGAAACGCTTTGTAACCTCATCATCCACTATTACATGTTGAAAAAGCACTCCACCAAATCTGCTGGCTGCCTTGAATGGCTTGTTCCATGGGGACACCAAAGGTTCAGGACAATCCTCAGCTGAAACATATCCTCTGTCTTTTTAGACTAATTGCAAGGCCAAAATCCTGTGTGGCATGCAAGGCAATCCGTAAACAATTGAATATCACTACAGACAAACACTGGTCTAAAATAAACAAACTAGAAACACTCACATGCGATGGTGCAAAGTGGCTGAAAGCACTTTGGGAATTTGTGAGCTGGCTTATCAACTGTAGATATAGATTCTGCAAATCTCGATTCAATGCACAGCTCTTCACCTGAATTTGCCACGTAGCAAACACATGTAATCCATGCTACAATCAGAATAGAATCTCACAGTAACTACTGATAAACTCCTTCTCTGCAAATTTGTGACTCAAATATTTCAGCCCAGGGAGTAACTAGCTTTTCAGCGTTGGTCAGCAAACACAGGCCCAGATGATTATCACAGGATGCATGATCTCATTTCTTTTTTATACAGATGGGTGATGTTAGCGTCTTTAAACTCTTGCAGCACTTTATTTTGGTCCCAGATCTTTGATTAGTGAGTCATGAGTTTTCTTATCAGCTTACCTTCTCCACACTTGTATACCTCAACAGGAGTACCATCTAAGCCAGCTGCTTTGACACTCATTTGAGAGCTTCCAGTAGTTCAGATGTATTTGGCAATATCAGGAGTCAATCCATTACCAGAAGCAACTCACATCTCTGCAGCATCAATTCTGTAATAGATCTCTAACAGATTCTCTAATAGACTTAACTAAGAAGAAAGTATCAAAGAATTTGACATTTTATAATTTTACAAATGGTAACATATATTTCATAGCTTTGCAAAAGAAATTCTACTTCCTCAAAAGTAAGGGAATTAAACAAATAACTTCAATTACAGAAAAATCAATGTCCTCAAAGAGGAACTGTTTGCATTGAGCTATGAACTTGTGCTATTCCACATACTGCACTGCTAATCAGTCTTATGACACGCACACAAAAATATCATGGTCTTTAAATATTTGTCTCAAGAACTCAGACATGATGTGACTTGTTCACAAGACAGCACAGATTGTGACCAAAAGAACTGATACAGACAAATGCTTTGCAGCATCTATCAGACAAAAAGCTTCAACGTAATTATCCCTCTTTATGTTATTAACCCTCCAGACAACCAAAGAAGAAAATTTGACTGTGATTATTTTCATTATTTATTTATATAATCTAAAAATCTGCTTGGCTCAGAGGTAAGCAGAGACTTCAATTCAAATGGAAAACATGAAGTGTCTGTGATACAGAGGAACTAGTTTTCCTCATTCTGATTTAAAGCAGCTATAACCAAGTCATACAACAGGAGGTAAAGGCAAGGATTATAACCTTACCAAAGGTCTGCTTTTCAGCAGTGTCTATCTCCCTGTCTATGACAACCAGGAAAGACTGGGCAGAGAGAGAGTTGAGGAAAAAGACTGAAAGACTCCTGAAAAGACTGTCCAAAATCCAAAAAACTCAGAACGTGGAAGAGAGTTGAAGGAGTTTACTATACAAGTAGTTTTGCTCTCTTGTGTTGCCTGTGTGTGACAAGCAAGGAATTTCCATGTTTCAGGAATCATGAGCTGTCTGAGCAGGAAAGCAGAGAGCTTTGGAGTTTTGAGAGTCCACATCTTTTCCTGGGCAATTCTGGGAGCACCAGATTCTGGAAACCTACAATTTGAGTCAATTTCTGAGAGGATCTGCACTAAGAGCATACCACTGAGTTTGAAGGTAGACTCCACGAGCCTAAGATCCTTGGGGATCTAAAAAGAGGTATAATAAAGTAGTTTGCAATCAACCCCCAAAGGTAGAGAACATCCTTAAAAGAACATCAGATTCATTCCTGACTTGCTCTCAGGACAACAAGAATTAATTCACATCTAATTTTCCAGATATACTTTTAGTAATTTCTCCATTACAGATTTTTAGCAAACATGGCCTGAAAACATCCCCCTCTGCTGTGCAGCACGAAGGAAGGTTAAAACAGCACCGATTTTGAAATCACCTTCTGAGGATCAACATAAGGAAAGTTACTTGCAAAAAATGATTAAAAAATGATGGATGAGCAAACAAGAAACAGAAAGTACTACAGATCAGAAGGCAAATTACAGTGAGCATTACGCAATATTTGTCAGGAATACATTTACGCTCCAGCAGATCTGGATAAGGATGTGGCTTAAAGTCTTATTTTGAGTGCTTGGATTCTTTTCCAGATACGTTTGAATTCAAATGAGAAGATAACAAGAAGTTGTGTTCTTCAGATAAGATTTTGATGTGAATATCATAGCAAAAAAACAAAACAAAACAAAACAAAAAAGAAAACCGCAACAGTTGGATTTTGGCTCTCTGTTCACATCAAGACAAATTTTGATTCTGTACTACAGCTTTTTAAAAACAAAAAGCTAAAATGTTTGGATTTGTTGTTACGTTGACACCTTGTATGTAAGAATTACTCATGGCTACTAGTCCTAAGGCATAAAAATCTTGAATATTTTCCATTGCCCGACCTAGCTCCTAATGTATATATCTTTCCTGGAGGTAGCAACTCAAGGACCAGATAATGTTTTATTGAAATGCAAATTCTGAAGTACCTCTTCTGGCATTTAATAGATGGATAATCAAAATGGAATTTGCTAAGTCAGTAAGGCCAAATGCCATATTTTAGCAAAGGCTGCTGTATCTTTGTTAACTCCGGTTGCCTGAGAAACTTTCACGATTATAAAAGGCTTTGAAGAGCTGAAGGTATAAGTTACTGTATTGGAGTGAAATCTTTTTTTAAGGAAATTAAGCCAGTATATACGATGATTCTGTTGTAAGAGTTCTGCCACATTAGCTTTGGGTCTAACTGGGGCTGCTGATTAGGCTGTATCATAAGTTCTTTGAATGGATGGCCAGGCAAGGGATATACTGAAACTCCAGTCTTCTTAAACCAGCCCTTCAGCCCAGAGGAGAGTCAAAATTAGAGGCATCAGAGATGAATGAGATCCATGCCACAAACAAACAAGTAAAAAAAAAAAAAAACCCTGACTTATCCCCACCAAAGCATCCAATTTTCAGATCTCTCAGTAGGTCTGTTCAGATTAAAAATAAAATATCACCCCCTCCTTCCCAGAGATACTGCTAGAAATAGAAACATTAAATGGATGTAATCCAAAGAGAGGGATTAGTTTTCTGATGATAAAGCCCTGATGTCCTAGTACATCTAAACTCAAATTTTATTGGAGCTGTTTTTGAAGGTAGAAGGTAGAAGAATGAACTTAACTCAGTATATGGTGGTAGTGCTTCATGCTGAATGTGTGGCTCTATGAAATTTTACGTACCTGTCCTTTTTTCTGCCTCTCACAACCAATGCAGTTATTCCAGTCTTTCAGTGAAGCATTGCACTGTGCAGTCATAGTTTTTCCACAAAAGTTCAATTGTGGCTTCCAGATCCAGAATTTCAAATTCAGCACAAGCCTTACAGTGTCAATGGCTTTTTTCCCTCTCCAGGTTAATGTTGTCATCATTGCAAACTGGCATTATCCTAAAACAAGACTGTTGGCCAAGTTTTCCTACCCAGCTGCTTTACAGCAGATGGAAGAAAACTGACTTACCAGTTTTCATTGATGGCTCTTAAGAAAATTGAGATGTATTTTGGTTTCTGTCCAATAAACGAGTTTTCATGGGAGCAAGAAAATCTCCCTGCTAGAATTGACAATTCTATGGAAAGTCTTAGATACCAACAAAGGATTTGACATGTCACTCCTGAGATATTTTCAGCTATGTATATATGAAGTGGCTAAAACCCACAGAATTATAAATCCAGCAATTAGAACAGGTCTGAGTAGTACAAACCACTTCCACAGGACAAGGTCTCTTTCTAATGCTGACATCACCTTTCTATTCACTCTTGATCACTTCACAGAAATGAGCCAAGAATTACTAATATGTCAATACGTAAGCAAATAGGAGAGTAAGAATTACTTGGTATAGATAGCATTTCCTCTATCAATAGTGGCTGAAGTTCGGAGAAGAAATCTCCTAGGTGAAAAGAATGTTCTGAGTGAAAGGAAAAAGTTTCTGGTCACTCCAACAAAGTATCTCACATCTCAGCACTGTAACACTCAGCAACTACATGGACAAACATACAGTCAGCACTCTGAGCTGTGAACTTGCTAATAGCAAGCGCAAAACAGAAATGACACTTCAAAGAAATTTATTTCAAGGTTAACAGTTCTACAGTACTTGTGAAAATGCTCAACAGCATTATAAAAGAAGCAGACGTGCACTAAAGGCAGTTTTTTCACATTTAAAGTGAGGAGACCACAGAAATTTGGGGCTAAATTTAATCTCACACATGGTTAGCGCTCTTTGTGACACTGAAGCAATATTATCGCTTGCAACTATCACTCACTCCACCTCCTGTGCTGCATGCTTATCCTTTGTTCCAGCTAATAAGCTCTCTTAAGCAAATATCACATCTACTTACAAACTTGAGAAAAAAAAAACCAACAAGTACTTGAAAATAAGAAAATTAACTAGGGGAAGCTGGCAACTGATAGGTAAAATAAAAAATTGGTAGTCAGAATATGAGTTTAGCTTCCCACTTCCTTCACTGAATAGCAATTCAACAATGAGAGAACAAGTAACTCCTCTGCACAATACTACCACTGACGAAATAAAATTAATTACCTTCGCTTAGGAGAGCCAACAAATCAGACTTCCAGCAAATTACATGGGAAAGCCAAGCTTACTGTTTGTCTCCTACCTGCAAGACAAGGCAAATCAATAAGATAAGAACATGGAAGTTCTTTTGTTGAGGAAGATTATAAAGAAACTTATTTATTAGGAGAAAAAGTCAGACCAATTTAAAAGTCACCCAGGTGCAGAAGGGGAAGTTACATCAATTTTCCCTAAAAGATTATAACCCCCCCCCCTCCCACCCTCAGCCCCTCCGAACAACTTTAAATCATTTTTTATATGAAATATACTCTGCAGCAATTACTGCAGGTCTAAAGTGGGAGCTACATGTCAGTGCAATGTCTCCTCCCCCCTTCAAAACCAGACAATTGATTTACACAGCGCGCAGGGGAAACCCTCTGTCAGAAAACCTTTTATGCAGGCACACAAAATTCTCTTTGGTAATTCACGTTATTTTAAACTATACCTCCATGAGGTTACTGGCGACTCTTCTCTGTCCTGAGAATTTGAAAAACGAGATCAGTTGCTCTAGCAAAACAGGTATTTTGTTTCACTTCTTCTATAAGTCAGTATGTGTGGACCTATAACTGGATATGATACTCTTAATACATTCCTTATTCATTAACTACTGAGTTGGAATGTGCCTGCATTTTTCCAAAATGTCCAAACTGCTCCACGTTAAGCCATGCTTGATTAGTTCAGACATTAGATTTGCATACGCAGAGAAAAGGCAGAAATGTCAGTTACAAGAACAGACTGGAAGAACAATGTTAAATCAGAATGAAATCAGCATTTGATTTCCCCTTGCAATGGAATAATGGCAACACTATATACTTTTTAATTAAATGACGGCCTGTCAATATTTGTCAGAGTAGTTACCAATATTAAAAATTCCTAAGAAAAATGGAATTAATATGGACAAATTAAGTGGACTAGTACAGATATGCTTCATTTCTATTCTCACTGTCCTACCACAAGCATTCTAAGAAACAGCAGATTATCTTTTTATTATAGTAATGAATCGGCTTACAGATTCTGCATGTAAGGTGCAGATAAACCGGGTGTATTATTTATTCCAGCTTTCTCAAAGCTATTCCAACAGAAAACTATTTGCTTGAAGATCTGTTGCCATCCTCAAATGCTTATGAAGGAAAAATGGTTAAAAAAGCTCCATGTGGTATTCAGAGATGGTACTATACAGTAAAGTATGTTTCTAGGTCAGACTTGATTACAGATACAATTGTTAGCTGGGGGGTAATGGAATGAGTCCCACTTAATGTGAATGAATTAGTTACTGCAGGGAAAAATGAAACAAATTAAGTGGCTTATAAACCAAATTGGTGGGAATTGTGTTTTCCTACCCTATGTCCTGTGCCTGCCTCCAAGAAAGGGCACTGCATGGCAGCTTGGTATCAGGAATTTGTTGGATCAGGAACCTGCAACAGCTTTTTCCAGGTCTGATTGTTGCTACAGCATGTATAAGAATTGGGCTTTTGTCTTTTCCAGTTTGATAACCTGAATGCAAAAGCTCAGTATGTATTCCATTAGAGTTAACTGGAGTTACTACCGTTTCCTCTTACACAAGATATATCCTTTAGGGATCCTCATCAAGATTCTCCAAATACTCTGTGCACACAGAGATCGGTTACAGACCTCTTTGAAAGTGGTAAAGTTAGAAGAGCTTTGGATTCAAGAATCTCTCTAGCAATGCTCAGCCAAAGATGACAGGCTGATTATGCTGTATCAATAGATCTGATTAAGGAAACGCAGGTGCAGCTGCAGAAGGTGTTAATGGAAAATCTCAACAGTCAGCTATTATATTATATTATGGAGCAAGAATAGAGGATAGAAAGGGAAATTTAGATAGATATGAAATCATTTCCTCCTCCTCCCCATCAGAATTTTTAATAGTCCTAGAAACATACTGGAACCTTCAATGCTGTAAACTTCAGTTTAAATCACAGAGAGAAAAAAGTATACAGTTCACCAATTTAACAGCAGGCATGTATTTGCTCCAAAGACTAACTGCTTTCTCAGTTTCAGACTAATGAGAGTGAGACAGGTTGTGAGATGCTCGCCAAGCCCAGTTTTACCACATTCATCATTTTGTAGGATTAATCTGTCAGAGAGGAGGGGTGTTGCAAAGTAGGAGGCAGTTGACATAAGAATTTATTGATCTGATATAATTTCTTCCCCCTACCCTATACTTAGAAAACAGATACAGATGTGAAAGATTCATAGATGCACTCAGATTTTTTCTTCTTCTTCTTCTAAAAGAAGCACTGACCAGTTTTGTGTTAGAGTAGGAAGGTCTGAATTTACTTATTAATAAACACACTGGTGTATGTTAACAGGTTGTTGCTTGATTATTTTAATTCAGTAGCAAGACCCTTATGTTGAAGCTAGAATTTACAGTCCCCTAGTGTTAAGTATTTAAGCTGCAGCATCATCCTCTTGGAAATAGAGCTACATGTTCAATCATATATTACTGTTCTAGGAACCACTGACCTGGCCGGGGAGGGGGGGAGGGGGAGGGAGGTGGAAGAGAAAAAAGAAGAGAAGAGGGGAAAAAAAAAGCTTTTATTGCTTCACTACAAGCACTCTAGACGCTTTTGACATACTTATGAAATCTCAGTGCAACTCAAACAATTTTCTCTTCCTTCAGCAAAAGCTGTATTGAATTCTCAATTATACAGTAAAACCAGGATTTACTTGATGAGTGATACCTCACTCTGCTAAGACTGCAATGACAATACCTCAGTTGAAATTCTGCTCTTTTCTTTCCAGCAGCCTGCAGAAACTCTAAAACACAAGTGATTCACTGAGTACTGCAGGATATATTAACTCTATTTGGGCTTGCAGGATAATGTAAATTATAAGTTATCACACCATATCCTCTGACTTGAGCTACATAAATTTAGCATCTGAGAAATATGATAGTACAAAGAGATACAGTTCCAGAGCTCTCTCAGGACGCTCCATATCAGAATCTTTTGAAAAGGAGATCAAACATCAGCTTTTATTTCTTCTTTCAGGCATTTGTTTGCAACACAGGGATAGCATGTTTTCCTGTTAAGAGGAAGGCCACAGTTCTAGTCCTAGAAGATTAACAAAGGCTCACAACAAAATTATGAAATCAGCAGTAAGAGAAACTGGTGAAAGATCCCTGAGAAAGCCTCATACCCCTTTTTGTGTGAGTTTTTTCTTTCTCCTTCTTTTCTTCTTCTTCGTCCTATCTTTCTCATCCTGCAGATATGCATTCCTGTGAGCACCAGCTTACCTCTGGCCCTCTCAGGCTGCTAAAGTGTGTGCTAGCCTTCCCCACCCTGAGGTATCCCTGGTGCCTCACTCTGCATGACTACCTCTTGGAAGTATCCCCCGTAGCCTCTGACTTCACATCACAAGTGTGGCAGTAAAATCCACAGCATGAATTTCCTGTGAGTTTAGAGGAATTACCCACAAGCAACTTGTGTGACAAGTTGCAATCCTAGATGGAAGAGAATTCACTGATTAAAATGAGGATGAGAAAAGCATGTTTATCAAAAGGGTAAATTTTAATCCAAAGAAATATCCAGAAAGGGATAACAAACCCCAGGGTCAAGAGTGACTTAACTTTACCTCTGAAGAACATGGATTATTCTGCAACTGAGGAATTAACTTGCTTATGAGGCACAGATCGATGCTTTCTAAAGCCACAGCACAGTGAATGAAGTGGATGAAGCCCACTTGTCAAAAGTAATGGAAATAGCAGTTCATCACAGACCTTCACATAGGAAACTTTACACTCCAGTGGTAAGCCCTCAAACAAATGATTACAGGAGAAATTCTAAGTCATGAGAAAAGAAAACAGTAGCAGTATTTATGTGGGAATTTTGTGGTATTTCCATAAATAGTGGTCTACCTTCTTAGCTTTTTAAAAGATAGGATATAAATGCTTTCTTCACAGCACCCAGTCACCTTTCCAGTGTTACTGAGAGGTCTTCCCAATTACAGTTTTTCTGCAAATATATTACACATCTCCTAGTTTCCTTCTCCAGTTCCTGTGCACATACACCACTCACCATGTTTCTCAAGCTCTAGGAGAATACTGGAATATGTTTAGCCACCTCCCAGCTCAGACACCCTGAGTTTGCCCAGCTTTCATAAAGGGGTTAGCCAGGAACAGAATGGCAGCTCTTCAGAGAGGATGACATAATGATCTGCAGCTGAAAGGATCCTTTTGAAACAAGTTTCAGAGCTGTATGCAGCCTGCTCACTCTGGTCCAGCTCATCTGGAAAAGAAAAGATAATATAAAAGTTCCCATTACTCTCCCGTAAGTCACCTGAGTTACTGAAGTCCCAGTTGTGACACAAAATTGACTGTATCATTTTAGGTGCTAGGATAGCATATTTTAAAATATTTTCTTTTTAATTTTAATAACAGTATTTGAACTAGGGAGAAAATTCAAGAGCTCAGAGCAGATATGTTTTTTTCTTTCTTTCTAGTGCATGTAAATCCCATCAAACACACCTGGATAACACCTTGCAAACAGTAGTGCCAAGATACCTGTTCAGCTCTGTAGTTCCAAGTAAGCAGAGAAGAGGGTAGTTTGTACCTAGGACATAATTGCTTAGCAATGTTTGAAATAATGTTCAAAACCTTTAATAAAGCAAAAACCAAGCTTTATGTATTAAAATCTCTTAAGACTTAGAGCTGCCAGAGTGATGTGAATGATGATTCTCCATAGAATAAAACATTGGAAGACCAAAGGAAGTGCGAAAGCATTTGAAGACAAAAAGAAGTGCTACTCTTCCAAATCTAGTACCCAAGCCTAAACAGCTAAAATAACTTCTCCCCATTGTCTACTGTAAATCCCTGGTGACTGTAGGAAATAAATAGCATGGCCTTTTCAGTGATTCCCACAACACAGAGACAGAAGATAGCACTACATCAGAAACTATGGAAGAGAGAAATCAATTTAGCCCTCACAGGAATTACATGAATTTTCAGGTTACTAACACAAATATACTTTACAGCTATGGCCTGAAACCATTTTTTGCTCTGCCTAGGCAGCAAGGCATATGATAATATCACAAGTCTGCATTATGGCACTGAGTGCATTTTTTAATTTAGTTAAATTATTCAAGCTTTTCATGAACCAAGCCGAAGCCTTTTCAGCGTCATTCCCTGCTGTTTAGTTACAATAGTACTATATAAAGTTCTGGTATCAACTACTGGCACTTGTATAAGGTACTAGTACTTTCTTACAGACAAACAAAAATCTAATGGCATGTCTTTGCTTCTCCTTCTCAGGCAGTTCAAGTACCTGTTTGGTCAAAATTACCATTACATTCTCCTTTCATGGAAATTATCATCAACAGTACAAAATTAGCTGAAATGCTTACATAGCACCTGCCACTTGTCGCTAAAGCAAAGATCCAGCATGCACTGAAAGCAATAGCAAGGCTTTGTTTGGCAAAAGCCTTAAAGAGTGGTATATTTTTATGTATATGAGACTGCAGGCTTCATCCTTGCTACAGTTATTTTTAAGCACAGTTAGCTGCAAAAACCCTAGCAAATCAGGTAATTAGCTTAAATTGTTTTAGGCCTCAATTCATCCCAGCCAATTCCAGGCATCTAAGGCACCTGAACTTGTAATATAGTCACCCTCAGGTGACATCCTCTGTGACTGGTGGAGAGACAGGGCAACTTCCAGCAGGTAATGCTGATCTTAGGTGGGATAAACCACCTTCTGGGATGCCATTCTCTTATTCCTTTGCTGATGAGAATGAGGAACAAGAGTAGTTCCTGCTTCAGTTATGTGGGATGAATCTGGGTCTTACTGTTTATGCTAGATACAAAGAAAGAGAGATCGTGTCCCCCTTTCCAACTTATTGCAATTTCATACTCTTTTTCTATGGACTAATTATAGTTTGTACTGGATGCATGGTCTCTACAAGATGCATTGTTTCTACAGCACTTTTGTTCCATGTGGTAATTCTTTTGAGAGCAGATGTTAGCACCAAGATACACTAAGAGGGATTTTTCAGACAACACAGAACACCAATTTGGAAACGTGGACTTTAATCCAGCTTGGGCATGAGCTGGGAACATTTTCATTCATATTCATTTAAAATAAACCTGTTCTTTCAGAAGAGTGTGAGGGACCTCTTGGCCTACGTTTTAAGAATTGTCCCAGCTTAGCTGCAAACAGAGAAGTGAAGTTTGCAGGGGAAAAAGAAGAGCTTTTGTTAGCTCATCTGACATGAGACACAAAAGCAGATGACTGTGTCTCCGTATTTCCTCTCCATACAGCTTGATTCTCTTACACCTTCAGGTCATCGCAGTTACAGCACAACTACTACCAAAAAATCATGGCTACTTCACTTTTATTTTCCTGAAAATGAAACTTGAAAAACTGAAGAAAACGTAAGAAACTGTTTAGGTTCTCTGAAAGTGAAGAATTCCTTCATGTTAACCAATGAGGCAGTTCGGGGCAAGATTTTCACATAACATTTAGGACAACTACTAGCCTGAGAAACAAGATCGTTTGACAGATATTCAGATAAACACAGAGCTGAGAGTGAATGCCAAATGCTTAACACTGGCTAAGAAATCACATGGGACCACTTGCAACATTAGGAACAACATTTCAAACTAGTAGTTATCTGGTTTGTTATGTAGCTAATTACAGTGGAAAATCTTCCTGGAGGATAGCTCAGTCCAGTTGAGATTCTGACTAAGGATGAGGAGCCTTACTGAGAAGGCTTAGGGTATAGATGCATTCCTTATCTTAGGTATATACCTACCAGCACTGTAAGGAGAGAAGGCTAGTTAGGTTTTCTCTGCACAGGTTTTCTATTAGAAAAGTATAAACTGACCTCTGACACTTCCCTTCTTTGGTGCAGCTTTTGAAATGTGGCTTAGGAAACACTCATGGATTAGACAAAAGTGGGGTTTTTGTTTGTTTGTTTGTTTTTCTGTTTCAATCTCACTGAGATTTTGGCTGAAATATAAATTTACTGCTCTCACTTTTTCCATCTCTCCCTACAATTCCCCCCAAAAAAAACCAACCCACAGTAAAACACACACATACTAGTACTTCCTATGACTTCAACAATAAGCTTGGCAACAAGAAACACCAGAATCTGAACATTTTAGAGTAGGACAAAATGTTTTCCTACTTACAGAGCGGGACCTACTGTTCTCCCTGGATGGAGCACATGGGCCCAAGGATTTCTCTCTCTTTTGGGGGCAGGAGCTCCCAGCTCTTCAAGGGAGAAACAAAGATGAACAAAACAGTCTTACTAGCTGACACATTTAGTCTTGCAGGTTCAATATTCAGAACTGAAATTCTGAGAAGCCTTCTGGACAGATAAAAGTGTATTTATCACCTTAACGAAAAAATCTGTCATTACACATCATAGAAGAGGAATTAAAATTTTGGAATCAATCATGCAAAAGGCATAGATTTGATTTTTAAACTTATGTTTTGTACATACATATTAGATGTATGTAATTCTCCCCAGATCTCCTGTCTCATTCATTGCACAAAACAGACGCACAAAAACAAGCTTAACCCTCGTATTCTGTGCAAAGTGTTCAGCTTTGTAACTTACAATTTCTTTTAATGCAGGCTCTCTGTATTTAAATGGCAAGTTTAAGAAAAGATGGAAGCTATCCTTTTCCACAGTTCTATCGCTTGCAATTAGAACTTGCTGCATGACTGCAATTGGCATGTTTGGAAAATACTCAAAAGTTTGTACTCCAATTAAAAAACAGGTGTAAAGCGCCCTAAAGAAAACACACCCAAGCCTCAAGTTTGAACCACAATCTGCTTCACTTCTAGGAGACTTCAGGAACAAATCTCAAGAGTTTTTGCTAGGAAATGAAAGAGAAGGATGACCCCGCATTCATCCACCCACTGGAATCATACTACTGGTTTCCTTGTTAGTCAGACAGTAGAGATGAGAGGTCTTGTGATAAGACTTGGCACTTATCTGGCATCTGTTCTTCCTATTAAGAAAATATGTCATTTGAAAACAAGTGATACTGAACATGCTGGACTAAGTTAGGATGCATTCTGCTGTTGACTTAATTTTCAGGCCTTGTTCACAGAAGAAGGTTACAGATATTAAAATTCAGTATAAATAAAAATAAAATAAAGTCTTATCCAATCTAGTTAAATCAGTGGAAATTACTTCATGGATCCTCATTTCATTACTACAGATTGTCTCATTGCAGTTCAGCCATTGCAGATGCTCACAGTTACACGTTAAAAGCTGCCTCAGGCTTGTTTCAAAAATGAATTTCAGTATGATTTGGGCCATCTGAAAAATTTATTTATTCTAAGTTACAGATGTCCACATACCTTTTTGTACTGCTCTAAGTGCTCAAAAAGTACAAGTTGAATGAGTGTAAACAGCTTTTACTGGTTACAATCAGAATTGTTACCGGTGTTTGTTCATTAAAAGATCTTCCAGTATATCCTTCTGACAACACTAGCTTTTATGCATCTAGGGAGGCTGTGTTCCTTGGCCTGTACACATACAATATTTCCACTGTAAAAGTGGAATTTTGCAGCTGTAAAGACAGACGACCCAAGTATAGAGACCTATGTAGTATCGTGTAATTGGCAGAAAGAATCCCTGTTAGGAGAGGAGGCTATAAGAAAAAGCATCGCAGAAATGGACTCAGTTAATAAGAAGTTAAAATCTACAAACAGATCACAAAAGGGTATCTGCAGCTTGGAGAGGGGGTAAAGCCTGATATCTGTACTGCTTCTGACACACAGGAATGCAAAGCCTTATACCTTCAACCCACACAGATTCTTTCTTCTGAAGAAGCAAAGCCCTCAGTACTTCTGCGTGAAAATTTTACAAATGCCTCTGCTCTTCAGTCTGTAGTAGGAGTGGCTGTTGCATAGCCAGGCACCTTCTGCTCCTGTAGACTCCCCTCTCTCTGCAATTTCCTCCGCAGTTGTTTGCCTCCTTCTCAGTAACACCATTTCATCTTGTTATTAGTTTTATCCAGTTTATTGGTTCTTCTTTGGTTCTAACTTTTGTTTTCTTTCCTTTTATCATTCAAACTGAATGTACTGGATCCAACAGGGGCTAGAAGAGTAGCAAGCAGTTCATTCCTTCCTGCCCTTGCAGTGGTCATAGCCTTATAAGTCGGGATTCTCTTCTCCCCTCATTCTTTCATTTAGAAACCAGGATTTAAACAGCCTCTTTTACCACTGAAATACAGATGTGGGAATGACGACACAATTTCTGCCTAGGTCACATCAGC